CCCCAAAACCCCAAAACCCCAAAACCCCAAAACCCCAAAACCCCAATTTTAATTTTCTTGTTGAAATCTAGAAATGGTTTCTGAATTGTAAGGGTGTAGGCTTAGTTTTGGGAAGATTTAAGTGGGATTTTGAGCAGGGGTTAGAATTAGAAATGACTGTGGGGAATTAAGGATTTTTCAAGTGGAAGATTTAAGTTTTGTGAAGAAAATCAGGAATTTTGAAATTGGGGTGATGGATTTAGAGAAATTATGGTAGTGGTGATCGTGGGGTTGGGGATTTAGAAGGGTATCACCTCTCTGTGTTGGAGGAAGTGGTCTATCATGGAAATCATTTCTGAAGAAGTGTAGTTGAAGTTGAGGTGGGCTTTGGTACCTTTTATGGCGATTGCGTATAGATCGTAGGTTCTAGCAGCGTCTGTTTCGGAGAGGAAGATACCAATGTACTTTTTGGTTCTTCCAATATTGATCAAAGCCTGCCAATGGGTGTTGTTTTTAGAGACTCCAATGTACTTCGACCTCCTCGTACTACACCCATGAACCCTCCCTCTATCCTTCTTCTGCGAACAACAAAACCTAGAAATCCCTTGCTTCAATATCTTTGCTCTCACTCTAATAAGTTTCGACCTAATCTCTAGTCGTGAAGACCGTCTCCTTCTCTTCTTGATTTCTTGTGTGGCTTCAGAAGTTTTAGTGGGTTCTGTGGGGTTTGGAAGGGGTGAGGAGGGGGTGAGGGAGTTGTGTGGGGTTGGGGAAGGTGGAGTCTGGGAAGGAGGGCTGGAAGGATATGGGTTAGGGGGATTTGGAAGTGGCATACTGAGGGGAAGATGGGATCGGAGAGGTGTTGGGAGGTGAGAGGGTTTTGGGGCTGCTGAAGTCTTTGGAGCTTGAAGATGGGCTGGTTGATAGGGTTGATTTATTTGAGATTGAAGGGGAGGAAGAGGCCTGTACAATTTTCTATAAATAAGGGTAGGCTTACTGTTGGACACATTCAGAAAGTTTGTGATAGCAAGTTGATACGTGCAACATAGTCCCAAATAAGGGCATCATTGAGTTGGAACAAAATAGAGAAATTACTGCGATTCATAAAAATTATTATTAACATCTTCTTCCCCAAATTTATATATGTATCGAAGCTTTATCATGAATTTTAGAGTCTTCATAGAAACTAGCTGAACTTGCTCTAAACTTATTGTTCTTACTAAAAATATGAGATAATTTGAAATTGTTAACGAAGGAGGAGTCTTAAAATTCTGAAATATAGCCCTAAAAATACGCTCTGTTTTAAGTTATCATTATACGAATCCCGGGTGGTATCCTTTTAAGTATATAAACTCCCGACTTAAGACATAGGAAAGAGACTAATAGTTATTTTATTTCAAGTTTTGGTATATTTTTCTGTAAGTCTAGCCCAAAATCCATGATTCAAAGCTTTATAGTCCTTCTTTTTCATGACTTTTGGTTACTATCTTTGATAAATTATTGCTTCATGAATTTCTGTAATTGGGCTAAAGTAAGACTCTGCTATGGGCGAACTTCATAAATTATGCTGAGAAAATCCTGAAGGTTATTATCCTTCTTAATCTCAGCTTTCATAATTTTTTCCAATATGTACTCAAGACTTGGGAAACATCTGTCTGAGTTGCGATTACAGCCAATGAATTGGTGATACTTTCTTAGAAATATAAGAGATCAGTAAAAGGAAATAAAGCTCATTTAGATCTAAAATAAACATTAGACTGTTCTTGGGAGTCAGGGATTAATCTCAAAATTGAGAATTTATACAACAACTTATTTCTTCTAAAAATTTTATTTGAAATATTTTTATTGATAAAAATCCAAAAATGTTGATTTCTTCATGGAAGATTTTAGACTTATATATACTTTTTCTCAGCTTCATGCAAAGAGAGAAGCTTGTATGGAGCCAGGGAGATGCTAGCTTCGTTCCTTCCTTAAAATCCGGGTTTGTAACTAGTATTTGGATAAAATTCGATTAATTTTTGGCAAAAATTAAGCCGAGATGCTTGAATTTTCTCGAATTAAGACGAGATCTTTATTTGTCATCAGGAGAAATGTAATTAAGAGCCTCTTCTTGATATTTATTTTGCCATCTAAGATTGAATCAGATCGCTTTGCTTAGAGGATATAGGCTGATTTTTTTAATGAAAATTTGAAATTTTATTATTATGAGAAATAACAGACTCCCCTGAGGTATATCAAATGCACCAAAAAATTGATATCTACCCCTTACAAGGCTATTTCCATCTCCCTTACTCTTTCAACCCAAATATAGCAACTAAATTTTCATACAACCCAACTAATAAACTTCAGAAATAAGATTCCCAATTTAAAAAACGAACCTAATTTAATAAACCCCCTTACAGAAAATCTCAATTTAAACCTCATCCAAAGGGGTTTTGGGGTTTTGGGGTTTTGGGGTTTTGGGG